AGCCAAAGTTTGTGCTGATGGAAAATGTTGTTGACATTTTGAGATTTGACAAAGCTTCTCTGGGAAGATATGCACTTAGTCGTTTGGTGGATATGAATTACCAAGCGAGGCTGGGAATACTTACTGCTGGTTGTTATGGCCTTCCACAATTTCGGTTGCGTGTTTTCTTGTGGGGTGCTCATGCTTGTGAGGTGATCTCTTTTTGTTTCATTGTTTTAGTAAATGTTCGAGAGTAGCACGAAAAATACAATGGGCATTCCATGAATCTGACCTGAAATTTCTTTTATGTGATAGCTAGATACTCGTAGGTTAATATTCAGTTTAGGTTTCCCAAAATAAAAGTATGGTTATTGTGTTTCTTTTCAATACGTATAGGGGCCATATAACTGTTTTCATCATCAAACATTAGAAAAAGAACAAGAAACAGAAAATATATCTTTAGTATATCTGAGTCACACACATATACATGCACAGACAAAGCTAAAAGGCATGCCCAATGCATAAAATCCATAACCAGACTTGTGAAACATAATTCAAGCTCACTCAAATTCTCACGTTACCGTTTAATAATGCATTCATTCATTTTGGAAGGCCAAAAGAGCCTGACGTATTTTCCCCTCTTTTTTTATCTTCGCAGAATCTGCCACAATTTCCTCTTCCAACACATGATGTCATAATGAGATGCTGGCCTCCACCAGAGTTCGAGGTACTTCTAAGCAAACCTTAAACTTTCAGTTCTATTTTTCTTTACCAATTAAATTGTTTGCTTTCATGTGCAACGGAACACTGTTGCTTACAATGAAGAACAACCTCGTGAATTATTAGAAAAAGCTCTTGTTCTTCGTGATGCCATCTCGGATCTTCCTTCTGTAAGTTCATTGTATTTGAAGCTTAGCTCTTCTCTTACAATTCAACAAATTTCTAATTGTGTCTAAATTTATAGGTCTCAAACGATGAAAAAAGAGAAGAAATGCCATTCCAAAAGCCTCCTGAAACAGATTTCCAAAGATATATAAGGTCAACACTATTTTCAGAACTTCCTGTATGCAGTTAATGTTTAACATCATCAGCATATACCAAATTTGTTCTTGGCCCTTAGAGACCCCATTACTATGCTTTTGGTAAACTTCTAAGGTTGATGTGGCTTAGCTCCTCTATCATGATATGTGTTAAATTCCAAGTATTTCAAAATGAGAAAGTGTGTTCTTATCCTTTTGCCCCTACATATCAACATATGAAAGATAATGATGTCAAATGCTTGACATCTGTGTTTAACATATGGAAACTTTTGTATAGTAGAATTGCAAATCTAACTGATAAATCATACTGACTAGCAGCATTAAATTTTTTATTTTTTTGTTTTTGTTATTTTGGTTTGGGTGGCAGGCTATTCATATGATCTGTTCTACGTCCATCTACACATATTTAAATGATTTCCATTTTAACTTTCATTTACGCTGGTTGTGTAGAGATGATGGGATCCGCATTTGATGGCACTACGGAAGCAAAAGTTTCACTACATGACCATCGGACTTACCACTTATATGAAGATGATTACTTACGAGTTTGTCAGATTCCAAAAAGAAAGGTTGGACACACACACACACACACACTCTCTCTCTATATATATAGCATGGATAAGTTTTAACTTCACGCTTCTGTCATTCAAATTTTGTTAACTTTGTAACCGTCTGTTGTTTCTAACTTACAGCTATTTTCAGGGAGCAAATTTCCAGGATCTACCTGGTGTTGTTGTAGGAAGTGACAATGTGGCTCGGAGAGAGTCAACTGAAAAGCATTCTCTGTTGCCATCTGGAAGGCCATTAGTGAGTGTTGATACTCTAAGTTTTGTTACTTAGATGTTAATAAGAAACAAAATAATATAGCTACGTACGAAAGTATAAATTATAGAGAGAATTTAGGTCCTCTTAAAGGGCTGAAGGGAACTGAAAGGACACAAAAATGCTCACAGGAACCTCTGTAGGTTGAAATAAAGAGTGTTATTGAAACTGATGTATTTTTTGCAATGTTAATATGTGTTTAAGTAAAATGAAAATTGGTTAGTGTGTAACAAGTGTTTTTTCCTTCTAGGTACCAGACTATTGCTTTACTTATGAACAAGGCAAATCGAAAAGGTTCTCTTTTTATTTTTTTTATTTTTTTGTTGTTAGCCTTCTAATGTGCTCTACCATTTACTGCTATTCTATTTCCTCACATTTTTTCTGATTTTTTTTTAAAATTTAATTATATTTTTAGACCGTTTGCGAGGTTATGGTGGGATGAGACAGTGCCCACTGTGCTTACTTTCCTAAGTTGTCACAACCAGGTTTAACCATCCTCTCTAGTCTAGTTCTTTATGGCATTTCATCTTTTGAATATTGTAGTAACCCTAAAGGCTTCTGTAGGTAGTATTACATCCGGAGCAGGACCAAATTCTCACTGTACGTGAATCTGCAAGATTGCAAGGCTTTCCTGATTATTATAGGTTCTGTGGGACAGTTAAAGAGAGGTATGGTCTTTCAATTCTTCTTCTGAATGTGATGTTGAATATTTGACTCCTTTTGCAAGTTTATTCAATAAATGATGAATTGTTTATGATTCGTGTCTGGTTTATTGATCTGTATTCAATATGGAAAACACTCATCTCCACTGTAACGAACCATTTCTCCTTCCAAACAATCACAGTTTGACACAGTTGCATAAACTTTTCATTTTGTGTTTTGAATGAGTTATTTCTGCAGGATCTGACTGAGGAAGAAAATGAAAGAGAAAACTGAAATATTTCTATAAGATGAGTTATCGTTGATTGTCTTATTTCTTTGTGCAGGTATTGTCAGATTGGAAATGCAGTTCCAGTTTCGGTTGCACGAGCTTTAGGATATGCGTTGGGATTGGCAGTTCGAAAACTCAGCGGAAATGATCCACTCATGACTCTCCCCAATAATTTTTCTCATTCAAACTTTTTCCAATTCACAAAAAAGTTGCCTCTCGAGACCGAAGAGTTATGATTCTCCCCCTCACGGGTAATTCAACTTGAAAGTCTTTGTATCTAGGGTCTATATGCATATCCCTGGTGGGGATTCATAGGATTTAACCATTTTTTCAACCGGACTGTCCAATTCTTTCCCCTTTTTTGCACTTGCCCTGTCGTCTTGGACGGTCGATTCTGTCAAAATCTAATCCCAACTGATGTTTTATTTCGCGATCCTTGTTGTATTGACTAATTCTCAGACTTGTAACTGGTGCATTATTTTCATTCAGTGAATGTTTATCTTCAAGTGTTAGGTATGTCGCTCGTGCATTTTTTAATCTGAAAGGTATGAGTGTGTAATAATGATTTTGTACACGTGTTCTTGTTTCATTTGCTACATGATTTTTGCGTTCACAGTTACATTTTCCAATTAATCAAATTTTGCTAGTGGAAAACTGTCTTTTGGAACTTGGCTTATCTTACAAACATGTTTGACATTCTCATGGGATAGAGTTTCTTCGTCTTTAGTGTAATGATAAATTAAGAATGTATGGTTTGTTTACACGTGATTGGACTAGAATTTATAGCCTACGAAATTAAGGTATGTTGAAGAAAGAAATATAAAATTAGGATCGCCTAGAGGATAGAAGAGGGATTACTCTCGAAGAAAATTCATTCAATCCAATCCTGCTTAAAATGGTAGGATTAGAAGGGATGAATTTCCTTCATAGCTAACCCTGTTCTCACCTCCTCCAAATGAAAAACCATTCCACAGTTCCACTTTCATTATGCCTTGAAATTTGACTCTTTAATCGAACTTCAAGCTTTCTTTCTCGCATTAAGCTCTCATAAAGAAGGATTGGAACAGTTTGTTCGTCTTCACTAAATTAATCATGACTGAAAGAATATGGCATGCTTTAAGTTTTCTATTTTGACTTTCACGCTAATGGTTTTGGTTGAATAAATTTAACAATCAGATACAACCACTTTCGGCTAATGTCGTTGTCAATTTTGTAAGCATATGAAAATATATGCTTTTGTTCTGACCTTGCTAAGGAATACTGATGAAGTGTCTCAACTCAGCAAAAGCTCGGTAAAGTCCTCTATCAAAGCAAACGGTGTTGATCATTATATATGTCAAGTACGAATTAGTCGATCATACATATGGTTAGTTTTGATTATTAAGTTTTTGAACTTGATAATTATAACAAAGAGAAAATATATGCTTTAAACATGATAAATTCTTATATGCATATGAAAGGCATACCGAGAAGCATATATGTAAATATGCATAAATTATTTTACTTGTTTCGGAACTAGTACATGAGTAGGTCTATTGCTCTGTTTTTTCATGGGTAACATAAATTCATGGAAATATTTTCAATCAGTTGTGTTACATGATAATGTGTAGGAAATATATAATGACCGAATGTAATAGCCATGTCATTAGTTGTTGTTGGAAATAATCAATATGGATTAAACTTTAAGTTTTGCAAACATGTAGTAAAATGACATATGGCATATTTCCTTTTAAGGGGATTGGATTGTCCTATATTGCTTGAGATGATCCTATGCAAAGACACAAATATATGATAAATCTGGCAGATTAGCACTAATAATGCGGTAAAATTATTGTTATGTCCAGAATATATACACTATGTACCTAGTACAAAAAAGGCTTTGCATGACGCAGGACCTTCGTCGCGCAAAGTCAAAAAAACGTCGTGCAAAAATTAGCCCAACGGACGTTCGTTGCGCATTCACCGTTGCGCTAAGTGCGTGAAAGCAGGGTTTGCGCGACGAAGAAGTGATCTACGTTGCGCAAAACCACTTTGCGCAACCTAGGTCCTATGTCGCGCAAAACAACTTTGCGCAACTAAGAACCTAGGTCGCGCAAAGTGGTTTTGCGCAACGCAGATCACTTCTTCGTCGCGCAAAACTTTTTTTTTTTTTGGCCAAAGAATTTTTTTTATTTAATTTTTAATAAATATTGTAATGAAATTCTAAACAATAATTATTAAACCAAGAAAAAATATTTAATTATAAAATATATAAAAATGTACACACAAGATGTCCAAAAACATAAAAAAAACTACTAGTCTTCTAGGATACATCATGCTACTGGGTATCAGCTGGATGAAGTGGCTGGGAAGTTGAAGGTGGAGCAACATCACGTGTTGGCATCGGGATCTGGAGGCCGGACATCGCTAAAGCTTGTACAATCATACTCATCCTCTCGTCTTGGGTCCTAATGTGCTCGCCCTGGGCCACAAGCTGACCTTTTAGGGTTGTCACTTCCTCCTTCAAGGCATTGACCTCTCCTGTGGACGATCTGGAAGAGGAGGCACCCGTCTCACGAACCCCCGCCTTCCCCATACATCGAACAACCTTGCCATAACGACGACCCAACTTCTGATCCAAGACCTCAGTCACGATCTGAATATCTGCATCCTCGGGTACATTGACTTCCTCGATCGGGGTCTCCGGGGGAAGCTGGGATGTTGCTTCTTGGAGAACAGCAGTGGACTTTTCCACCATAACATCCTGTAATAATAAAGAAAAAACATATAATGTTCAATAACAAAATATAAATAATATTTGAACGATTCGTAAAAATAAGAATAATAAGAATTACATATACTTACATGAAGCTCCTTAGTGGTCTCATTGCCGGGTCGAACGTAAACGTCATTGAACAAGTCAATCTGTGGGAACTTAGAACCCTCCTAAAAAAAAATCATTAAGTAAATTTTATTAGTCAATAATAAAGAATAAAATGTATAAAATTTAAAAATTAATATACTTTTACCTGACGTCGTGCCTCAAGCCTATACGAAAAGGGCTTCGAACCGGAATGGTGGAGAAGTGTCTTTGAGTCCCGAGCTTTCTTGCCAGCAATAGATTTCTTCTGTTAAACATACAATATACATGTTAGTGCGATTATTTGAATGAAATTATTAAAAAAAGCTTAAAAAGATAACAAAAACAGTAAATTATTATTAAAGTATTATGTACATACCACAAATTTTGGATCCATAAAATGTTTACAGAGCCACTCCCAATCCTCTGGCCGGTCCCTCAAGTCGTTTGGGCAACCCTCTAGGCGAGCAATCTCCGGATCATCCCATAGCTAAAAATGCGTGTGAAAAGCGCTCTTCCAATCTTTGTACCGGTTTGCTAAGGTCCCCTCTAAGTAGGCACTGACCTCAGGGGATAAGTCCTTAACATCAAAATTGACCTACAAATATGAAAAACAATAAAATAATATTAAGAAATTTAATAATATTAAGATAATATACTTTGTTTATAATATTTGTAAACAAAATTTAAAAAAAAAATGATAAGGGCTAAAAATTAATTTACTAACCGACAACTTGTCTCGCACCAGTTTCTTCGTCTCCTCGGGAATTTGTGCCCAAGACTCCCACCGCATAGGACAACAATTCCGAATAACATAACCACAGCTAGTAACAATGCTGCTATGCTGCTGTGAGGTAGCCGCTCCACGATGTTGCGAGTCATATGCAATCTTGATCAAGGAGGCGGACATACGTACAGCCTGTGCCTCCTTTAGCATTCGATTAGGCCCCCTGGTGTTTTTTTAGCTGCCCAAAAAAACTTAAATGGTAAAAAGCTTAAATTTGTACAAAAAATTAGGCAAAACCTCCCCTAATAGTATATCATTTCCCAAAACCTTAAAACAGTAATTCACAACCCGCAACACATTTTCACAATCCAACAAATTTTCACAATCATAAAATAATAGTTTTAAAATAGAAAAAAAAAATACAATGTAGTGAGAATTAGAAAAAAAACTACCTGGTTGGGAGGCCCCACCATCGACTCCGGAGGAGGAGGAAGCGTGATCACCAGGCTCCAGCTCGCGGCGGCGACGGTGAGGCCGCCATGCACTGAGAGGTTGAACCGACACTGATGATGTTGATGATACGGGCACCTGAGCACTCACGCCTGGAGTAGATGCTGATGATGTAGGAGCCGCATTGGACACACTCCAACGAGGAGTGATCAACTGCGACATCTATACACTTTTTGAACCATAAAAAATATGACATTAGAAACTAATCCTTTCTTGCATTTCAAACTAATAAATTAGCAACCAAAGTAATATAAGTAATTAGAGCAATAATATCAATACAAGATTATTTAAAAAACCAATGGTTCAAGAAACTAAACAAGCAGCTTCATACTTGGAACATTGATATACTTCGCCCTTGATATGGTAAAGGATATCATTAACTATAAGTTTTATATCTAAGAACTCTCAACCTAGCTTACCTCCAATATGTGAAACTGATCACTCAGAATACGCGTTAAAAACAATGTTCAATCAAGAAGTAAAAAGAAAAGTTATAATTTTGGACAAATTAATGGCCAACTTGGCATCCACTCTCGGTTAGTAAACAAAGGAAAAGAAAAAAGGTGGACATCATTCCTTGTTTTGGGGAAGAAAAAAGGGAAAAGGAAACTTTGGTTTTGGTCCTTTATGTTTTGGTGGTTGCCTTTGCAGCCGAAAGAGAGGAGAGGAGAAATTACAAAACACAGATATAGAAATTACAAAACACAGATATAGAAACAGATATAGAAACAGAGATATAGAAACCATCTGTATGTATGAATTTAAAATAAAAATTACAAAACACAGATATAGAAACAGAGAAGAAAGAAGTGATATGGAGGAATGTAGAGTTGGTGCTGGGCTAGAAAAGAAAAATCATGCTCTTTTGGCTGCAGAGCAATCGGATGAACAAAGTAGAAAAAGGGAAAGTTTTTGCATACCAGATGAAAGCAACAATGAAGGCCGGAGCGAGCGTGGAAGGAGAGAGAGAGAGAGAGAGAGAGAGAGAGAGAGAGAGAGAGAGAGAGAGAGCAATTCTCAAGTTTTGGTGAGGTCGAAGCAGATACACTGTGACTGTGAGTCAACCAGATCCGCAAGTTTTGTAAGAACAATGATTATAATTAAAGGGTAAAAACAATAATTAGTTTTTTTAGAAACTCCAATGGCTCGAGGATTATACCTAAATGGAATTAATTAAAGTATTAAGATATACAACCCGACAGAGAGTGATCTGCCACCCCATTCTTTGTTTTATTTGCTTTGCCATTTCTTATTCGGTAAAAACAATGATGAACCGCAAGTTTTGTAAGAACAATGATTATAATTAAAGGCACGCAATTTTTTTTTTTTTTCAATTTTACAAGTGTGTATGTTTTATTTTAAGAAAGAGTTCCCCTTAATTTGTATAAGGCATCAACATTGTGTTTTTGGTTGAGTTAACGTTATTTGTTCCATTTAGGTATAATCCCTACACTTGGAAAAAAACTAATTCCATTTAGGTATAATCCCTACACTTGGAAAAAAACTAATTCTTTTAACTAGTCCGTGGTGGAAGTAGTTGGTAATCAATTAAAGCAATTAAAGGTTCACATCACTCTCTCATTTTATATATGGTAATCAATTAAAGGTTCACATCACTCTCTCATTTTATATATGGTAATCAATTAAAGCATTTTAAAAATTTCTACACAAAATATCAACGGAATTTGACCAAAGAAGTATATGGTGATGTTCAGAAGAGAAAGGAACATAATTATCATAGATTTGTAACTCATTACCATTTTAAATAGGACTATTAATTGGTATCATTGTCAAAACAAATTAACGTGTTGTTGGACATGCATCATGCATGTATCAGAAAGACATGCATGCATATGCATGTAGTTGATTAATAAGATGATGTAAGTCTTCTTCCATTAAGATGCTTATTAATTTTAGGATTTGTAGGATAAGACAATTGGAGAGAAATAGAAAGTGATAGTAGTCTATTGCGTGTGGACTTTAACCAAATATTACCCACTGTCTATTTCGAGAAATTACAATTGTATCTAACAAAGAAAGAGAAAGATGGAGCCTTCACAAGGGTTGTGTACGTGAGGCCCCACTACGTGGCAACACTCTCGGAGCAGGAGGCATCGGAGCAGGAGGCATAGGAGCAGGAGGCACCGAAGATAGATCATTCAAGGCCCCAAGCCTTGGTGGAACGCTGGATGACCCAGGAAAAAGGTGCCTCTGGAAGAAAGCTGCAAGCCTTTGACGGTCATCAAGCTCATCAAGCTTCCTCTTCATGCCTGTCGAATAATTGTTGGCAAGCACGTGCAAACTTCGGTTCTCGTACTTAAGCTGTTTGATCTTCTGCTTAAGACTCTCCACCTCCGCCATCAAGGATTCAACCTGACGGGAGCGAGCAAGAAGGCGTTGGCCCATGTTGGACACAGAGCCAGCGCACTGAACGCTAAGAGCCAAGGACTCTTGAACGGCCAACTCATCGGACCGTCCAGAAAGCAGCTGACTATCTTTGGGAGTGAGGAGGTTTCGAGCTACTATCGTAGCCATTGTTGCATCCGTCATCACAGAGTCCTCAACTGTAAGAGGGCCATGAGAAGATAAGAAAGACGGGCACCATACCTTATCCTCAACTGTAAGAGGATCACTGCTTAGACTCAAATCTAAGTAAATGTTCGATGGGTTAGATGAGCTGGCCATTTTTCAAGAAGTTAAAAGAGAAGGTTGGATGGAATAAAATCTCGACGGGCCGGAGATGATTTCTGGGCAATCTTCAGAGTGTGCATGATAGAGGTGATCGATTACCTCTATTAAAGGAGAGACGTTCACTGATTCAGAAATGAAGAGACACCACTCTTCAAAACTGGATTTCCCGACGTAAAATCAGCTGCACACTTTGTCAAAAGCTCCCGGATTTCCTGCGCAAAGTTCGGCGACGATCTCTCGGCTTTTCAGAAAACGCGTTCACTTTGTCAAAAGATCTCTGACAAAGTGAAAACACGTGGAGGCCATCATCGCAACTACACATCTTTAGCCGACAAACGCAAAGTTCGACGACGCTTTCTCTACTTTTCAGAAAACGCATGCAGCTTTGTCAAAAGAGCCGCATCCGCACTACTACGTGTCGTTCAGAAAGCGAAGGGGTGTCGCTCAGAAATCGAAGGGGCGCCTGCTCAGAAATCGAAGAGGCGTCGTTCAGAAATCGAAGAGGCGTCACTATTTCAAAAAGCCGGATTTGCGGGATCAAAACGTTGTCGACAAGGGTAAAAGAACAATACCACCACTTGCTATTGGGAAATCCCTATATATGTCGACCTTCATCTTTTATGGCAAGGCAAACCTGAAGAAAATGCCCAACTCTTCCTCACTTTTGAGGGCGCACTCCCAGCAAAGCCTTTCGAAATACTCAATTCTTTCTTCTTCCCCAAAGATGATACCAGATGCCTGGAGTACAGATGACCCAGGAGGAAACAGCACAACAAATACATGTGCTGATTCATTCACCGCTTCCTCAAAAGCAAAGGTATCTCATATCATCAAGGTCAAAAGCAAAAGTATCTCATATCATGCTCTTTCCCTGTCTTTTCCTTTGTCTTTGTTATTACTCGCATAGCAAAGTAAAAGAAGCAATCAGCCGGCACTTGGAGTCAGTATTCCGACGGCCGGGAATCCCTTTCCTGATTGCTTACCTAGCGTTGCTCTCGAGTAGTCATCTTCAACGGTTGATACACTTCCAGAGAAGGGACCACTTCTGCAAAGGGGAGCAAGTAAGGCAAGTGAAAATGACACATTGAAGCATGTGGAGACAAGCAACAACTGCATATGCTGAGCTATCCTCTAACCCTCTTCAATACGAATTGGAGAGATTGAACAAAGAAACGGATAAAAGGAGGAAGCTCAGACCTTCGGGGGAGACCAAAGGAAGCCTGCTGCCCAGTTCAAGAGTAGCACAAAGGAAAATCAACGATGGGAGCAGCGCAGTTCAAGAGTAAGCCTGTGGAATCACAAAGATCCAAACCTCAATGCAATTACCAAGGAGAAGATGGAATTTACACTCCATAACCAGATTTGCATCCCTAAACTCGGAACCTCCTCACTCCCAGAGATAGTCAGCTGCTTTCAGGACGGTCCGATGAGTTGGCCGTTCAAGAGTCCCTGGCTCTTAGTGTTCAGTGCGCAGGCTCTGTGTCCAACATGAACATGCTTTGTTAGATACATTATTTTTTTTTTCCGCACTTGTAATTCTCGAAAATAAATGAACATGCTTTGTTTTATTCAATGCATTGGGTTGCCTCCCAAGTAGCGCTTTCTTTTACGTCTTGCAGCCGGACGAAGAAATTAATTATAAATAATTGATATATTAAAGAAAGTTAATCAAATGTAACTTATTAATTAAGCTTTGTATGAAAGAGGAGATAAGTGTTTTTGGGTAATTAATTACCTTTAATCGTTGTAAAGCAGATGGTGATTGGGCTAGAAAATAAACTACCATGGCCATCAAGAGAGAGGTGGTTTCATAGCCACCCAATGGAGAATCCAAGACAAAACTCGCTTTCTCATCTTCAGATATGGTATCAACTTCCAGAAGTATCTCAAGGAAATCACTTCTTTTAGTACAATAATTAGTGCTCCCATCTGCATTTCTTCTTCTTTCCTCTATGATTGCTTTCACAGTTGAAGATATCCTCTTTCTAGCCTGTAAAGAGAAATAATAATTCTCACACTACATGCCTAGCTGCTTTTTTGTAATAAACAA